GGGTTGTTTCATAATCCCAGGGGAGATTCTCTGTGGCTCCAAGGAAGGTGGAAGCGAGCCTGCTGGCACTGTTTCATGAAAGGTGTGGAGTGTTCCAGGCGACACCAGCACCCAGGTCTCCAGCAACCCCGTCAGGATCTCCCCGTGGGCTGCAGCAGAGCAGATGGCTGATGGCAGAACGCCTCAGGGAGCGGCCTGGGAGGACCAGGCTAGGCTGGTGACCTGGGGAAAGTGCATGGACAGACCCAGAGAGGTACGAAGAACCCCTGGGTGGAACTTAAGGTAGCCTTAGGTCATGGCTGCCATGTTCAATGGGAAAATCGTTCCTTTCCATTTCTCTTCCCTGTCTGATCGCAACGTGCCCTTTATAGAGCAGGTGTATCTGGTCACCGAAGCTGTGGCAAATGGGCAGCACCTCCGGAGTCTCTGCCTAAGGAGAGACAGCAAACCAGAGACTCAAAGCGGCTTACAAGGCAACCGCATCCACAGTTCCATAACTTTGCTACATTTTTGTTTTCTTTCTTTTTATAGCTACTCTGTCAGCTTTCTGTTTATGGGGAGGCTGTAAAATTTCCATTTAAAAGATATTTGTGTGTATGTGTGCACGAGTGGGTGTGTGTGCCTACAGCGAGCTAAAGAAAAATGTTAATAGTACGAGTGGCAAACACTCAGATCAAGAAGGTGCTACTCAAGTGATTAAAGTCTGACAAACATGGCTCCCAACGATGCAAAAGCAAAAATGCATGTCCTGGGCCTCCTATTCACAACCACCCAGACCACCCCAAGATGCAGGGTGGGGAAGCGCCCTTCCCATCTCAGCCCTGCAGCCTGCAGGTGCATGGCTTCCACTCTTCAAGACCCCTCTTGGTAGTGTCTGTAATGGAGCCTCACCAAGAGGGGAAACTCTCAGCTTGGATGATTCTTACCATCTTGGGCCCAACAAAATGCCGTTGCCAGTGTCATTCCCCCAAACACAGAACACCCATGGAATGTCTTCTGAATCAGCAAAGATCGGAGGGATTGGGAAACCCATCATGATTCTCTGACACTCAGCATTTTCCATGGACTTTTTTGGAGACTTCTCTGATGCATGGATTTTAAACTTTTTTTGAAATTTTTTTAAAAAGATTTATTTTGGGGGCTGGCACTGTGGTACAGCAGGTTAAAGCCAAGTCCTGTGGCACCAGCATCCCATATGGACAACCGTTCAAGTACTGGCTGCTCCACTTCCCACCCAGCTCCCTTGTGATGGTCCTGGGAAAGCAGTGGAGGTTGGCCCAAGTGCTTGGGCCCCTGCACCCACGTGGGAGACCCTGAGGAAGCCCTGGCTCCTGGCTTCAGCCTGGCCCAGCCCTGGTCATTGCAGCCATTTGGGGTGTGAACTAGCAGATGGAAGACCTCTCTCTCTCTCTTTCCTTTGCTCTCTATGTAGCTCTGCCTTTCAAATAAACAAATCTTTAAAAAATTGTTTTTTATTTATATCTGAAAGGCAGAGTTACAGAGAAGAGAGAGAGAAAGAGAGATATCTTCTGTCTGCCTGTTCGCTCCCAAGATGGCCACAACTGCTGGGACTGGGCCAGGCCAAAGCCAGGAGCCCAGAACTTCTTCCGGGTCTCCCACATGGGTGCAGGGGTCCAAGCACTTGGGCCATCTTCCACTGCTTTCCCAGGCACATTAGCAGAGAGCTGGATCGGAAGTAGAGCAGCTGGGTCTGGAACCAGCGCCCATATGGGATGCCGACATTGCAGGCAGAGCCTTAGTCTGCTACACCACAGTGCCAGAACCAGATTTCAAACATTTCTTTTTGCACCAAAATAAATTTATCATTAAAGTCTATTCTCCATGAGCTTCTTGAAGCATCCTCGTACAACTGACAACTTTAACCCTTCTAATTCACGGGGATCGAAGTTGTGGACTGCAAACCTCTAAGCGGCACACTCCTCAAAAACGAAGAGTAGGTCTCAGCACGACGTGGGGTCTGGAGAGTGGCTGGCCTAGCCAGACCCTCGGGGGTCCCTGAGTCTCCCATGGGCCACACACAGCACTGCCCTCCAGTCAGGTGAGCCCCGCAGACCCATGCAGAGAGGGGAGCTTGGAGGAGCAGGGGCCAACGCTGACCAGCTGTGAGTCCCGCGGGTCCCCCCTCCCCGGGACCCTGTAGCCCTCATGCCCCCTCTCTGGAGACCTTCAGGCCCAGTGACATTATACCAAGAGTAGGAAGTGTGGTTCTGGGATCGCAGCACCTCCAGCTGCAGCTGGGCTGGGGCAGGCACAGCTGTCTGGCCCCAGGCATGTCTCTTGTGAAGGGGAAACATCCGGCCAATACCACCCCCCAGTGTCAATCACAATCCCGGGCACGGACAGACGGCTCGGACAGACAGCTCAGCGGGCCAGCCTGGTCAGCCAGCTCTTGTGTCCTCAGTCAGGACGGGGACATGCTCGTCTCCCCCAGGGCTGTGGCCCCCGCAGCCCCCTCAGCCCCCACTCTGCTCCCACCTCCAGCCTGGGGCGGGGTACCTGCAGTGTAGGGATGGCGCTGGGCCCCCGCAGGATGTGACCCAGGATGTGCGGACCTGGGGCTCTGCAGAGATATGTGGGGGTGAAAGGGCAAACCTGTTTCCAGTCTCCTTATCAGGAGCAGCCGAGTGAGAGGGAAGTGGCCGGCCAGGGGGTCAGGCTAGGGGGGGTCAGGGCTGGGGCAGACCTGCGAGGAGGCTGGGCAGGGCAGAAAGACAAAGGAGGACATGGAGGGCGGGCCAGGGGGAGGAAGCCCTTTCCCAAGGGGAGGAGCCTCGAGGGTGGCCAGCCCAGGAGGGCTGCCTGGACACTGGACTTTTAGTCTCCAACCAGGACAGCTTGTCACCCAAAAAGCACCTGGCAAGGGGACTGTCACACCCACCCAGACCCACGCGATCCACACTGTGCCAGGCTCACCGCAGCACCTTGCTGGATGTGTCTTCCCAACTATCAGCAAAACACCCGCTACGTGCCTGGCCCTGGGGATTCATTCCACAGCCAAAGACCAGACACAAAGCCCGCCACCCTGGAGCTCGTGTGCACCCCCCAAAGCCAGGGAGAAGCCTTCCTCCGCTGCTGCCTGCCCAACCAGCCCACGCTGTGCAGTCCCAGGGGGGTGTGCTTCTGGAAGCCCTCCCCCAAGCAGGGGCTGTGTCTCACCGTTCTACTTCCCACGGTGCCTAACGCCGGAGCAGGGACGTGTTGGATACCTGGCTGTCACTGAGGGCTAAGGCATTGAAGGCAGACTCCCACCCACACCCCACACCCCACGCCACATGCACACAGGGCAGGAGTCCACTCTCGGCTTGGGGAGGCGATGGAAGGAAACAGGGCAGGCCTGAGCGCACGCACCATCCAGCCGAGGCGGGGGGTGGGCCGAAGGCAGACAGGAGCTGGGCTGTCACCCCCTAGCTGAGGGGTCTTGCCCTCCTGCTCCCATGTGCTGTCCCCTCAGGGGTCCCAGCTGCAGGGAACCCACAGGTCAGTGTGCCCGAAGGTGCCTGGGGACACCCAGGGAAGGCAGCCAAACCGAGGCTCCTTCGGTGCTTGACTTTGCAGCTGGAAGACACAGAGGGCGCCCTTGGCGGCTGGAGCACAGGAGGGACTGCTGGCCTGGGAGTGGGACAGGTGCCGAAGAGGCTGGGGCCCTGGCTACAGCTGCAAGGGACTCCTGTGCACTTAAGGAGGGCATGGCGTCACCACGGTTCTGGAAGCTTCCTGCAGTAGGGCGGCAAGCCCTCACCTCAGCACACCCCACAACAGGGGCTCAGAGTGGGCTCTCGGCAGCTTCTGTGGACAAAGCCCAAATCAAGCCATGCCCTCACAGAGGGGCGCCCCACGTTTCTGTCCTGCCCCCTGGTGGCCACTCATCATATTGCAACTCCTGGTGACTTCTAGTGGGGTGCGAGCTCAGCCCACCCTACCCTGCACCTCTGGGGTCTGGTCTTAAGGTATCATTAGGATGGGGCCCCTGCGTGTTCTGCAAACAGCCGGGACCCAGCCACTCCCAAGCAGCTGGGGTGTGGGAGAAAAGAGCAGGATATAGGAAGACCACACCACAGAAATTACAGCCTGGGCTGCAGACAGACAGGGAAAGCACAGAGGGAACCCCAGGGTGTTTTTAAGGCTGAAACTCAAGTGTCCAGAATTTGATCATGGCCTCGGTTATACTGTTTGGTTCCTGATGCCCTCTCATGCTTTCATTCAGCTATTTGGCTATTTCTCATGATGCACAAGCGGCCGCAAACAAGTGATTTTCCTTTCTTATTAAGCAGCCGCAAAGCCCCCTTTCTTGCAAAGGCAACTTTACAAGGAACTCCAGGGGACAGAAAGTGGAACTGGGCTTGGGATGCTGGCTGCCTGGCCTCCCCCTGGACCACCCAGCAGCCCCTTGCAGCCTCGGAACACTGTGGAACTTGAACCACGCCCGTCTCCTCCACTCCTATGCCCCCGCGCCCAGCACATGTCCAGTCTGGGGCCCTAATCCACAGACGCTGGGTGAAATGTACTAAATGAGAGAAATTGCTCCAACCACCACCCAGGTCCAATTTGGGAAGGGGGCACTTTAAGTACCCTCCCCCCATCAGCACACTAATGTTCCCCTGATCCTAAGGGTCCTTCAGGGCTCAGAACAAAGGCTCCTTCCTCCATGAAGCTTTCCCAGCTGGCCCCAGCCAACATCATCTCACTGCCTTTGAACGCTGTAGCCTCATTATTCCACCCCTCTCCCACATTCTTCACACTCACTCAGCCTCCTGCCTAAGTCGCTGGCGTGCCCATCGCCTGTCCCCAAGGAGACAATGCTGCTCTCCTTATCTCGGGAGATGTCTGCTTCTCTTGGTGCCTTCCCACTGTGACATTCAAAAAAGGTCTAAGAGAGAAGGCAAGGCCTCCCACCGCTCCCAAGGACACCGTGCCTCCAGGAGGGCCTGTTAGCCTGCGCCAGGAGGGGCACCTGGAACCAATTTGACCTTCCGAGGACATTAGCGTGGAGTGGTTTATTGATTCCGCAAACTGTCACCAAGCCGGCAGCACGGGAGGGGGTCTGGGGTAAGGAAGCTTTGGTGGAGAAGAGGCAGTGAAGGCCCCTAGGTGCCAGCTGCTGCCCAGGATGAGTCCCCGGCCCTGGGGAAGTGCTGGGGGCGCAGGCGTCCACAGGAGAGGGAGAGCTGGGGAGGGTCTGGTCCCACCGCGCCGGGTCGGCCTCCCTGTGTGTGTGTGTTTCCAGTGCCTGGTGAGCTGGGACCGAGGGGACTGGTTCCCTTCTCCTCCTCCGGAACATCTGGGGCTGCATCAGACGCAAAGATCTGGTAAAGAAAATTGTTATGGAAATATGTAACCGTGAGACATTATCAAAGGCGTCTTTCAAGTCCCCTTTCTGCCCCATCTGGGCAGAGGGGACTAGAAATGAGAAAACCCAGCGGCGCCCACAAGACCATCAAAGTGGCTGAAATCCAGGCCGATCTGCAGGTTCAAGGACGCCTAAGCAGACCCCTGCCCCAGCCCAGAAGACCGCAAACCCACCGTTCAGAAGCCAAGTCGCTGGCACCGTCAGAGCCGGCTCTGCAGCAAACAAGCACAAAGCTTCCCCAGATGCCCCTTGCACAGGGGAAACCTGAGAAGCCAGCCCCTGGGGAGGTGCCTGGCTGCTCCAGCCTCTCCACCCCAGCCCCAGTGGGGGTTCTGGCTCTTTGTCTCTTCCTCCCTCTGCTTCTTTCTGTGCCTGCCCTGTCTCCTTCCACCTATCTGTCTTCCTCTACTTCCAGCTCACCACATTCCTCTTTCCAGCAACATTCCATCTCCATCTCTCTCTCTCTCTCTCTCTGTGTGTGTCTCTCTCCACACTCTCGCCTTTTTCTCTCTACTGTACTGTTTCCCTCTCCCATTCTTTCGCCAGGCTGCGTGAATTCCCACCCCTTCTGCGTTTTCGGTACTGTTTCCTTTACATTGCATTTTATCTCTCTCTCAGCAGTAACCCTTTCTCCCTGGCCTCTCTTAATTTTTCGGCCCTTCTCCTGCTATGAATTTCCTGAAATGTCAGACTGTGCACACGACAAGAGGGTCCTCTCTGACTAGTTTAATGACCAACGTGGATCCTCGGTATCTCTCCCAGATGTCCAAACCGCCAAGCAGATCACCAAGGGGCCTTCCTCCCATCGTCCATCACTACGAACTGTCCATCGCCATCACATCACTGTGCCAGGGCAGCCAGCACGCACACTCGCACGCACATGGACATGTGGTTTTACCTAGGAGCAGGGTCTACGCACTTGGAAATTTATGTGCAGAGGAGAGGAATGCCACAGTGCATAAAACTGATCCGTGCCGAGAAGCTCCACGATTTACAGTTATTTTTTTATGTGGGGAGAGAGAGAGACTCTATCATTGTACTATAATACAGCTCCCTGCATTTATTCCCGAGATGCGAAGGTTCATCTCCATTCAGATTTCTCCAAGCCATAGCCTAGAAGGCTGTTTGATTGCAGATTTAGGATTTTCAAAGAGCTCCGGTCGCACGTCTCAAAGGCAACTGAGCAGAGTTCATTCTGTTCTGCAAAAGTCATCCGGGACCGCGCGGTGTTAGGTGAACAATCGTTTCGGAAAGACAAAGAGAAACACGCGCGCGTTTACCGAAGGCCGGAACGGAGAAAGGACGGCGGAAAACGAAAGCACGCCGCCGGGCCCCACGCGGTGCGGGTGTGCGCCCGCGCTCACCACTGCGCGTGGTGAGAAGGGGTGCGGGGGAGCTGGCACTCGTGGCGGGTGCGCAGCGGGTCCCGCACGCCGCGCTCCCGGACCGCGGGTCTCCTGGGCTGCAGCCTTCGGCTGGGCTCCTTGCAGGCCCGGCCGCGCGACGGTGCCCTGCGGTCAACCCGCCAGACCCCGGCGATCGAGCACTCGGCGTGCGCCCGGGTCCCAGGCCTCGGCTCCGGCTGCAGAGAACGCACCGGGCGGCCATGGGCTCGACTCCTGGCGACGCGGGAAGAAACCAAGTGTCTGTTCCCTTTGATCTGATTTTATAGAGACTGAAAGTTGACATTCAACTTTGAATGCTTTTTATCTAGTTCAGTCTCCCTCTTAATCTCATTTGGGGAGAGGACTCGGATGCCAGCGCGGCGAACCAACCCCTACGGGCTGGCGAGGGTGCGCGAGAGGGACGCGAGCATGGGGCACCGCGATCGGGTCGCCAGCGGCGCGAGAACACGGGGCGCCGCGGGCACAGCCACACTTGGGTCCCGCGCGCCGCACGTTCCTCTCTTTCCCCGCCACGCGCAGGGGCTTCTCCCCGCTCAGACAGCGCAGGACGCCAGCGCAAAGTGGCGGCGAGACGGCGAAACACGGCCGGGGAGGCTCAGGGCACCGAGCCGCTGGGGAGCTACCAGCGGCCGCCGCCGCCGCCGCCGCCGCGCCTCCGCCCGCCCTCCGCCGCCCGCGCACCCACGCCGGCGCTCAATTACTTTCAGGTGTGGGCAGCGAAATAAACTAAAGCTTCCGGGTCGGGAAGCGATGGGGGAGCGGGGGGCAATTCCTTATAGCAGAGTTCGAATCCAAGCAGAGGGGCTTCCAGAGAGTCCCCTGCGCCTTGGACGGAGAGCGGGAAGGAGGGGACGCCGCCTGGGGTGACGCTGCCCTCGGCCGGGTGGGGAGACCCCCGACGGGCTTTCTCTAGGCTTGGGCATATCAGAACCGAATCCACTATTGCAGGCGGTTCCCCGTTCCTTGCTCCCGCTGGGCACCGGCAAGCCCTGGCCGGCCGCCTCCTCTGTGCCTTTCCTTTGTCTCTGGCACCCGCTGCGCAAGCTTCTCCGCATCGGAGATGTCCAAACCCGGTTTTGCAACGCTCCGGGGAGACTCCAGCTATCTCTGGGACTTTGACACGAATTATTTCGCGATATGTTAGAGATCCCTGACTGGGCAGGCGAGGCGGCGGAGGATGTCCCACAAACCATCCCGGGGTGGTAGACCCCCTTGGAGGTGAGGAAGCCGGCTTCACAAAGGTGGGGACTCGGGGAAGACTGAGCTCAGGACAAGCTAATCAATTTCCCGGGAGCGCAGGGGCGTGGTTTGCTACGGTTTGGGGCTGGCGACACGGACTCTGTCCCAGCTGGGCTTCCTCCCTTGCTCTCTGCCAGCCACCTCCATCCAGGTCTCCAGAGGAGGGTGGGAATGAGTTTCTCTCTTCCCACCCACACTTAAAATCCTTGCTTAAGGCCAGGCATACAGTGGAAAAGCAAACCGGCCCCTCCCATTGCAAAGAAATATACGCCTCTGCAGAATTTCTGGACCCATGTCCTATTTAGGCTGACACACACACGCTGTCATGGTCTCGGAGGGCCCCTCACTCCTCCTCAAGCCCCTGAGGATCTGGGGAGGGGGCCTTCTCTGGGCTCAGCCAGGGAAAGCCAAGAGGTGACCAGATGGCCGCGATGCAGGGTGCTTCGCTCCCACTGCCTCAGACAAGAACCCCCATGCTCCCCACACAGAGAGCAAATCTGCCCCCATGAAAGGGCCGCTGTGTTGGTGGAACACTGATGCAATATTGCAAACACGCTGGGCTCTGCGAGAGCGGAAGCAGGGCCAGGTCTTCCCCGGAGGCCTCCAAGGCCAGTGGGCGACACTAATCCTGACGGCTCAGTGGACTGAGGGAGGGATTGTTGACCAAAACATCCACACAGAGCACTGAGCAAGGCTGTGGTGCCCACAGTTGGTAGTCACAGCCAGAACATCTGGAGCAATGGGGAAGCCAGTGCCAGCCGGGACACCAGGACCCATCTGCACGGGCTTGGGACCGCCCAGCAAGGGACCTGGTCGCCTCCAAGTCCACTTCCCAGAGCTGAACTTCACAGCAAATGGTTGCACAATTTGGGCCCTGGCGACCCTACTGATCTAAACAGCTTATTAACAAATGGAAAATGTATAAACACATAATTGCCTCTGTGAAAAAAATTTATTAAATCCTCCCATTTATTTGCAACATAAATAGCTGAGACCATATGGATAAGAGGAAAAGTGGCTCTGTCCTAATTAGCCGTGTGCCCTGGGCAAAAGTCCCCTCTCCAGGCCCCACGCCTTTCTCCCCTGTGAAGATGGCACACCCCATCAGACACACTCAAACTCTAGCTTTGAAAGCCCTCGTTAGGAAGAAGCTTGGGGGCCCCACCCCATGAGGCTCTGGCTAAGTAGCCCTGGAGCAGGGCTCGATAATTTGCCTGAAGAACAAGTTCCCGGATGCTGCTGCTGTGGGCCTGAGAAACGTGGCCTGAGAAACTAGATGATGTTTGAGTTCCCATCCAGAGCTGACCTTCCGTCCTACCCCATCCCCAACCCCCACTCATCTATCCCCCTGAATCCACTCCCTTCCCCCAACCCCAGAGGGTTTGGAACCCTTAATGTTTCCACACCAACCTTGTCTCTTTGTCATCGACACAGAAAACACCCTTTCAGCTGGCCAGCAGGCTGGTCACTCTGTCCGCTGCAGGGTTCCTGCCCTCTCAGCACACATCCTGCAATTTGAGTGACACCCCCCCCCCCCCCCACCAACCGCGAATCCTGTCACTGCAGCTAATGCTGGTTTTCTATTGTAGCAAGCAGGGCTGGGCCTGATCCGAGCGAAATCCTGGGCAGGCCTCCTGTGTAGACGGCCGCCTTCAGAGGGGCTGGCAACAGCCCAGCGTGCGTCTCTGGACCCCTTGATGTGACCCAGTGCCTGCCAGACACTTGCCCCCACACACGCTCACACATGTGTGCACACACCCGCTCACATGCACACGCACATGCTCACATGCACACACCCTTCCCCACACACAGAGCCCCCAGGCAGGAGAACTGGTTTCACTTTGATGTACCTCTCGCCGCACATTTGTTTCAGCTCCTCTCCTGGAGCCACGGTCTTATTTATCTTCTTGGCATGGGTTCTTAGGATACTTCCATTCAGGCAGCAGCAAAATCACTCCACTCCACTGTTGTATGAAGTTTATCATGCAGCAAAATATCCGGTCTCTTTGTCCGATGGATCTGGTGTGAATGTGCCTACAGAGCTGCCTTTCCCCCAGACATCCCGGGGCCGGGTGTGAGCACACCCTCCCCTGCGAGCACCCTGCGAGCCCCAGGGCCTGCCTACCTCTTGCTGCAAGGGGCGCCCCACAAAGCAGGGCTTTGAAGCGTTTCCCCCCCAAGTCTAGACAGAGATACACAGCTCCTGCACGTGCGCATGCTACCTTCATGCCCCACCACCGAGCGCCCCCCTCCCACGCAGGCCTGGCTTCCTTTATTCTACACCCTCTCCCTAATTGGCCTGGCCTGGCCT